CGTGGAGGTGCTGAAAATTTCTTCTAACGCACTTCCCCAAGTCTGACCGTTATTTTGTCCCTGTAGTGGAAAGTTCTTTTATATAATAGAGTGCCAAATTTACAGGATTCTTGTGTTTAGTTATGAATTATTTTCAGATTGGCAACGGAAAATGTAGAATTTTCAAGGGTTGGACACCAGGCTATTATGAATTTCCTGTTCCCACAGAAGTAAATTCCAAAGGATTCGTATATTCGTGTATGATGCAAATATTGAGCGGCAAGAAGTGGTATGCCAACTTCAACCACGGAGATTTTGAGGTTCAAAATGTGGATAGTGTTCTACAGAGACAAAGTGAAATTTTTTATCATGTTCATGACCTAAGAATGCTCCGATCAATGAATTTTGATAAGAATTGCTCCTAGCAATGACCAAGGATACGTTGGATTTATAATTTATTAGCAATTGCCTGTGCAATAGATGTCAACGAAGTGGATGCCAAAATTTTGAATGAACGATAATTTGAGCCCACCGATTATAAATCGGTGATCGACTAACAGCTCATTTAGTGACGGCAATCTGTAGAGAAAACTCTACAGTCGAAAAAATTCAAAACACAAAAGTCATCTGGAAAGATTATATTCACTGCTTTGGGACATAAATAAGGTATTTTTATAACGTTCGATTAAAGGAGACAGTGAAAATCGTAGAAAACTGTTATGTTTTTGCAGGACAATACAAATGTTCACAGGGTTGGTAAGACGATGGATGTTTTAAAATATTTGCGATTTGAATGCATAGACTAGCCACCTTATTCATAAGACTATTTCACCGGACTATTTCTTTTTTACACTCCTTAAACTTAAATTTGAAAGATAATAAATGTTAGAATGTTCGGAGGTTGTTGCAGCAGTAGACCAATATAGTAATGAAAAAACAACTGAATTGTATATCGAAGAGTTAAAGAAACTTTAGAAACAATATGCCAAGTGCGTTGAAATGCGGAGTGAATATGACGAATATTTTAGCACCGACCCACGCATATATATTTAAATGGCAAGTTTGTGAGGCTTCATGAATTGATAAATCGGTTTGTTATACCCAAAAGAGAGGAGCAAAAAAAAATCAAATAAGTAACATTAGGATAGGTTGCAGTATTGCTGGCGTTCGACTCACAAAAATATATCCTCTCCGCTGCTTTCTAATCTTACAAAATAACTTTTTGACTGCATGTTTCTATCCATGGTACTCTGGTAAATCTTTTGATTATTTATTACATTTTGGCATTTTAATCTTCTATTACTCATCATTATTCAGGTTAAACATTTGAACAAAACTTGCATAAGTATTAATGCAGCAGTTGTACATTTCTAAACCCGCTTGATTGTTGGTGCTTAGTAAAATCACAATATATCTTTAAGTAAGGCTACGGTTGAACAGTATAGATTAACCTCTTCATGGTTTATTTTGATAATTCTCGCTCAAAAACATTTTCAGTGCAATAATAAGATACTGGATATAAATTCTTGCAACCCTACTCGATATATGGGATAAAAGAAAAAGATTCGCTCACCTTGTGCGTTTGACAATTTTTTAAATTTCTTTTTCTGATTTTCGTATAATCAACATTTAGTTTTCCTATGGGAGATTGTACGATAAGTCATTCGATTTATCGTTTAGTGGAGTTTGTTATGATTGAAATAATTTTTTGTTCATTGAAATGTTAGAGAAATAACGCAGATCTGTAAGGGATGAAAAAAGTGAAAATGATTTTAGGGATTTGTCCGATAGTTATAATGGTTCAACTGGTTAAAATGAATTTTTTCCTTCTTCACAAGATGAAGGCGGTTCAATTTTCAGTGCTCGGCATTAGTGTAAAATTAATTAGTTATCAACTAATTACAATCCTACCTTTTCACTCTTTCTAAAAAACAAAGATGTTTGAAGGATCCTTCTTTCCTGTAATTTGGTTAATAAATCAACGCCTTTAACAGATGACCTTTTGTATTTGACGCATCCGACTAATAGCAAGTTTACTCTACTTAGTGTAGCTTGTGACAACCAACTCAACAATATTAATATTTGTTCGCTAAACAAAAAAATTGTAAAACCTATATTTGGTGGAATCTTTATAACAGTGGAGCTAATACTTTTCGTTCATATTTGGGAATAAATGCGCACACGCAAACGCAAATCACATATGGACATGCAAGCCCAATTATATGCAAGGTTAAAATTTATACACATTTTCAAACATTCGTCATGAACGCACACACAAAGCGACGCATGCAAAGACGTGAACGTTCTCACACAGAACTAAATCTCACAGACATTTAAATTGATGAACATGACCACATACACGACCACATATAAGCACATATACTGTGACACCAGCAATTCATGTACAGTGGTTGTTCGTTCATTATCTATCAGTAGAGTAATATGACGTCAGTAATGTCTAAATCGCCAGCATCAGTGTAAAAAAAAATTAATGCGATCATGTAATCTCCTAAAACCAGAATGCTTAGAAATAATAGAAGAATATTTGCTGGAGAATTCAACTAACATAATACAGATTTTTAATTTTTGTTAATTATGCTTTATATTTCACACACACTTAGCCTGCAGAAATAAAATAATTCCATCGAAAACTATCACTTACTATAGTAATCATAAATTCGGCGTTCAGTACAATGGAAGATTAAGACTTCCAAAATAAATTGCTCTCTACCTTCCGAAGACATTGTTCGAAACTTATCTGCTACCAGTCGAGTATTAAATAAAAAGGTACTTGTCATACGATTAGATTTCATTTACTCTATCTCTATATATGCCAGTATATTTTTTAATTATCTGTTAATATGCACATTTATTTGATTGGTATTATTTTTCTAAAACACCCGTCTTATCCTCGACTAATATTTTATGCTTTTTAAGTAGAAAACTGGCCAATGACGGTCAAGCAAGGGCGGAAATTATCAATAAAGGAGACCGGTGTAATAGTAAAAAATTGCCATTTGCCTTTTTGACACAATAGAAAGGGGCGTAAGACAAGAATGTGTCTTTTCACCGGACTTACAATGAAGCGATCATGATGAAATTAGAAGTCATACCAGGATTTATTATTAGTAGCCACAATCTTGACATAAGTAGTATGCCGATGGTAGTGTTGATAGCTGTTGTAACCTAGGGAAGGTTACTGAATAGATTAATCAAACGAAGGTTGGTAATGCACGATAATACTTACAAGGACAAGAACAACACATACGACAAGAATAATACATATAAGATTCGTCAGCGGCGCGTAGAAGAAGTAGTCAACTGCTAGAAGTGATTCAAGTGAAATCCACAATGAATCTCCAATACTCCTGTATTTGTATGAATGGGGGACATACCCATTATCGTCCGTAAATATACTACAACAATGGCAGGCACAGAAAGGAAACTGCAGGAACTCCTAGAGATCGGCTGGTTCACACTCCTCCCCGGTTTTTTTAAACTTGAGTAGAGGTTTATCCCTTGGTTGTGTCTCCGGCTCCTTCTAAAGACTTCTCATTCTCTTTCACGCCCAGTAACCTTTTGCCTGACATTATCACCTTGCTTGGGATGAAATGATTTAAAAAATGAGCAGAAGAAAGAGAGCAGAAGAAAGAGAGAAGAAAAAAACTAAGCAAAAGGAAAAGTCCAAGATGCGAACTCCAAATTGGAGTCACCAGAATCAAGCAAAGTACAAACATTTAAATATTTAGATAGCGTTTTAACAAAGGGCTTGAAAATGTTACGGCGAAATCCGAATAGTGAAAATGTCTTGGCTAAGCAAAATATTTTAAAAAATCGTTAGAAATAAAGAAAAGAGTGCTGAACTGTTATGTAATATCGGCTTCCCTGTATGGCAGTGAATGCTGGACAATTTTATCACAGATGATGAACAGACTTGAGGCAACAGAAATTTGGTTCTCCAGAAGGATGCTGAGAATATCATGGACTGAACATGAAAGGAACGACGAAATCTTAAGGAAAGCATATTGAAAACAAAGGGGATAGGCAAGCAGCGAACAACCTACCTAAGGGGGTGACAAAAAGAAAAATCTTACTCACAACTACAAAAAGCAGGAAGTTGTGGAAAGTCACGATCGCCCACGCCCTGAAGGATATAAAAATTAAAATATGCAATCAAAGTATCGTTTATCTGATGAACCGATAGTAAGTTAACCTGCGCCGGATTCTTAAAGACAAAAGAAAAAAAAGAACAAAACCTTTTAAATGATGATTTTTCTATTAAGGCCAAACCATGTTCATTTCTTAAGAATCGTATCATCTGGTATAGTATTCATGTACTTCTAAAATCAGGTATACACGTCTGTCCTCAGTTATTGTATCAGTATGCATTGGAATGTATTAAACATGAGCGATTAATTTTTTGAGGCATTTCAAATATCACTTTATGCTAGTCTGCTAAAGAGATGTTCCACTGAATCACTCAAAAGAAATAAATAGATTTATGTATAAACTGAATTATGATTGATTAAACTGATAAGAAAAGATACCAACACCAACATCTGCACATGACATGTGAACACAGAGTGAGTGACAAGGTATAAAGAGTTTAATTACTCTTTTTAGTCCCAATACCGACTGATTTCATTTCCATTGAAAGGGGAATAGATTAGAGAAAAAATGAAACTGATTAAAGTAGGCAGTTATAAAATTCGATACATATAAGTAGAAAGATTCATAGGTATAATTCCAAGAAAAGGGGCATATATACTTACTGAGAGACTGATAGGCAACATGAATCACAGATTCAAATTCTTCTGATAACGAGGGAATTAAATAGTGTTTAAGTAGTTAAGCAGCTGGTGATAAAATGTAAAATCAATTATGCAGTTTGGAAAGAAGCGATGAAAAATAATTAAAAAATGAACAGTAGCTAGAGCGTGTAAAGTGCTGTATAAAATGCAAATCATTCATTATGAAGGCAATAGATTCAGAACATTTAGGTGAATGTTCAATGAAGAAACCCAGAGAGTTGTGAGGGTAACGAGAGAGAGAGAGAGAGAGAGAGAGAGAGGATAGAAGATAAATGAATGAAAGGAAAAACAGTAGAAATAGCCATAAAAATGCCCACGTTACATACGAAAGGGTGCCGAAAAATTATTAGCTTAACTAAGAAGAGATTGCACAATAGATTCTGAAAATTGGTCAATCGGCCAGCTTTCAGAAAGTGAACATTTCAGCACTATCTTTCAGGAAAATATTGTCATTTTGAATCGAGAATCGATTGCACAGCCTTGATGCAACCAATTTCGCAGAGAGATGTAACCTTGTTGCGTATGTATAAGTATATAGTAGAGTACTGTGCGTTTTCTTCTCACTAGGTGAGCTTATGCATTTTTTGACCGTCGCATATACAGCTAATTTATAACAAGAATTGCTTGAAACGTGGACTGTTCAATGATTATTTGGAGATTCCTTGAAAGAGATTTACATTCTGGAAGATTTCAACAAGTAGAACAATCGAAAATTTTAAACGCATACGATCTGCAATCAATATTGAATACCACGATTATCCCTTCTCGTTTCGTGCAGAGGTTTTGTTTAGCAAAACATCGTAACACCATGGAATGTCATCATCTCTACTATCCTTGAGTTCAGATTTTGTTTTCTGCTATGTGTCGCTTATGCGAAATCTAAAATTGCTGTTGAAAGAAATTACAGCTTGTGAACGAGATTAAGGAGATGGACGCAAGACGGCTAATGGCGATATCTAAAGAGGTTTTTTTAGACAGTTTTGAAAAGTTGAAAGTAAACTGTGTGTGAAGTAGCAATAATAATTTTACTTAATAATAAATGGGTGGATTTCTAGTCAGACCTCACGCGCGCATATATATATATATATATATATATATATATATATATATATATATATATATATATATATATATATATATATGTGTGTGTGTGTGTGTGTGTGTGTGTGTGTGTGTCGCGCGTGTCTGTGTGTGTTTGTGTGTACGTGTGTATAAGAACGAAGAAAGCTTTAGAAAAAGCAGCATCAAGGAGAAAGTGAATAGGACATACATGATCATATCGGATATGAAAATGAAAAAAAAACAAAGACAACAACAAAAATGTATTGCTTTTTACTGGCAATGGACCATCAAATTCCATTTTTGTTGAACTGTCAAAGGAACTGAGTACATTGGTAAATCTTTGTGTTTTTATCCTTTTTCTTTTAGGTCAGTTTTCTATACACTGGTGTTCATATTGATGTTTTTGCGAGTAAAGATAAAAAGAATCGCTCCTTCCCTCATGTCATGTAATAAAGCTGTATCTTCTGCATAAAAAATGACTTACGTCTTCGCTATGAAACGTTTTATTTTAAGGAGTATCAATTATTTTAAGGAGTATCAATTATTTTAAGGAGTATCAATTAGGACAATCATAAAAAGGTGGTTTGCCATTTACGGCCTGGTTTACGATAGTTTAATTTTTTCTCAATCGAAACGTACATTTACATAACATCATACTTCATGCTGAAAAGTGTGCTGAACTGTTATATAATATCAATCCTCTTGCATGGCAGTGAATGCTGAACAATCTCCTCTCAGAAATATAGAGTTAAAATTCATAGTACATAAAACGAAGAAGGAGAGCAGGAGAATTTCCCGCTCACGTGACATACCGAGGGAAAGAATGACACCGGTAGGCAGCGGGCCATCTGAGGAGGAGGAGTTTGTGTGAATGCATAGCAGGAGGATTAGCAGAGATAAACGTCGCTAAGAGCTACAAAAAATAGGAGGTTGTGGAGAACCATGATCGCCTTCAAGGGAATATGTCACATAGAAGATTAAATTTCGTAGTCGCCTGATTTATGGACCTAGCTGACGAATTATTACACACCGCCTACATCATCTTCCTTATTTCCCAACAATGATCCGTCAATTTTCTGGGCCTCATTTCAGAATAGGTAATGGCTACGTTTCTCCTATCAGATATTTTCCTCCATATCGAAGCAGCAATTTGAAAAAGCCATTAAAAGGATGATGCCGCTGGTCAAATGCTTTTACAGTGTGATTTGGGGGAGTGGGGAATTGCTGCAGTTATTTACAACGACTGCATTATCTTTAAAATTACATTGATAAGTAATTTCTTTCTCTCTCTCTCTCTCTCTCTCTCTCTCTCTCTCACACACACACACACACTTTTAGTGAATAAACCAAAAGCTTATGAATTATACAGATACAAGACAGCATACAAGCAAGTAAGGCACTAAACAAATTGCTTTGCACTTACAAATATGACTTATTTCAGTTAACCTAATGAATATTGAATTGCATGAAAATTAAACATTTTTAATTTCATTTTTTAAGCTCAGTCCCCAGGAAAAGATGTGGGGTTTGTGATATCATTATAGAAGGAAACTCCTACACTTTTGAAAACTCCACAACATTCACAATTAAAAAAAAAAACTTAAACTGCAACTCCAAAAATGTGATTTATGCCCCCAAATGCAAAAAATACATCAAGTCCTATATAGGTATCATTCAAGTACAAACAACAAATTTTTATTTCACAAAAGTAACATCAAATTATCAGATAACAGAAAACTCTTTGTATCGCAACACATCTACAAATGTAACCAAGGTAAATTTAAAATTATGCCAATATATCAAACAATTATTCTTACCTACAAATACAAGAAAAAACTTCATAAGCAAACAGATCATAAGTCCACACACATAAACACACAGCATACACATAATGTCCGAACACACTAGTCGCAACACACACACGCATACACACACACACACACACACACACACACACACACACACACACACGCAAACAAACACACACACACACAAACAAACACACACACAAATATCTATGGAGAACGGATATATATATATATATATATATATATATATTCCTGAATTATTCACACAAAAAACAAATGCAAAGGTTAATGCTTTAAATGGCGAGACATCCATCATCGCAAACAATTCAAATAATATACAAAAACCTCCGAATCCGTTATGAATGAAAAAATCCTTGTTTCTATAAATTTCTGCCGTATTAGTTCTTATTTTTACTACAAGCTTTCGTCTGTTCCTACAGACATCTTCAGGTATAGAATAGATGTTGTTCTTGTTTTTTCTCTTAGTAATAAGAGGACAACGAAAATATATGTATTGTTGTATCCGAAAATGCTATTGAAAATGAGTTATTGTTTTATATATATATGCATGTTTCATTAAAAACGACAGACAAGGTACTACGGTTGAGCTTTTTATTTAATTTTTCTTGTCTTCTGACAATATCTTTCTTTTCTGGACAAAGGGTGTGTAAGAACTGTCCGAATGTTTTATATTTCCGAGCGTTTTAGGCTATACCTTTAGCCATTATCAAGGATGATTCGATTATCAGCTTAGTTGAGTGTGTGCGTTCTGTGTATGTATCAGTGTGTGGTAGGGATATATATATATATATATATATATATATATATATATATATATATATATATATACTAATCCCTTATAATAAACCTATATATATATATATATATTTTATTTATTTTAAAATATGATTCCAACGCTGCATAAGAGTTCTCATGAGAACTCTTATGTAGCGTTGGAATCATATTTAAAATAAATAATTATATTTATGCTCTACTTTTGTATCGAGCACTATTTTTTAAAAATAATAACAAAAAATAATAAAGAACTTTGGATTATTTACCTAACGAGTTCGTTCCTATTTTTTATATTTTTTTACACACACACACACACACACATATATATATATATATATATATATATATATATATATATATATATATATATATATATATATATATATATGGAGAAGGAATATGTATGCACATACTAGCAAATACACACACGCACAATAGACAAAATGCATACAGGCTTAAAAAGACACAGAGGTCATAATAAGATAAGAACAAAACCTCCTTCCTTCGCCATTTCTCTGACCAATCCTAATTGATTTATTACCCCTTAAGCAAAACAATATTTTCTCCACAAGTCCAAGAAGATTTGGATTACTACTACACCCAAATGACAATGGTTAAACATCGGAAAACATAAGGAAAAATTAATTCCTTTACATAATATGTAGAAATAATCACTTTTTGTCTGTTGAAGGCCGCAAGACCCGAAACGCTTTCAAAAATATGGAAAATAATGTATAATATATATTTTTTAAAAAATCCACATTATACCTAAAAACGTTTGCGGCTACTCTTTAAAATATACGCGACATCATGTAACTTGAATTTAGTGTATTGTGGCAGCAGATTATTATTCAAACATATATTGTTAAATATAACATACAATGAATATTTGCTTTAATTTCGTGAGAAAATAAAGATAAAAATTGTGAAACATTTGGATATTTTTTTTTATGCTGTTCCTTGATCTACGCTTTAGGCTCACAGTTTGGACATTTATAGCCACTATTCTTTAGAGCTTTATTACAGAAATTACTATGTTCATAGAATATTTTCTCATTTGTTGAATTTGAACTTATTCTTTTTTCAATAGATGAAGGTATATGCTTAATTATAGAAGGAGGATATTCATGTGTATTTATAAGATATATATATATATATATATATATATATATGATTATGCATACATGCATAAATTTACGCTGAAGTCGGCTTTTATTGAATCCCCTTATTATAACTTGAATATTCGCGTATTTTAGAGGTACTGACCTCTGAATTTAAACGTAAAATGATGCATAAATGCACACACAAATATGTGTACACCAACACATACGTGTTTGATAAATATAAAATTTAAAAATGTTACCCTTGGCGATAATGCAGACTCTACGAAGTCGAGGATATATTGGTTGGGGGGTCGTAAATCGCTATTTATCAACAAATTAAATTAGAACTCGAGCATCTTTTTCTTTCAATTACTTTTTCTAGCATACTGTAATAAAGGGACTCACTTCGGCTCTGAAGTAAATCCCTTTAATTTATTCAGTTTAACTTTCATTCTCCACTCACCATCAATTAATGATTGACAAACAGGGTGACAAAGATTCGTTCTACACTGTTATTTTTTCAGTGATTTTTCAGACTATGATAATTTTTATGAAGTTGATCTTGGAAACAATTCATTATTGTTGTATATAGAGAATACCTTTTAAACCAATTTCTGTTTTTAAATTATCTTCTCGGCGTAGTTCTATGATTTTCATCTGATCACAGACGAGATACTACTTCTTTCTTATTTCTATATTTCATGTTCTTACCTCTCAAGTCTTGTCAAATCAAACATGTATGCTTTTGAGAAAAGAATCTTCATTCCCCACCCCCAGCTTGAAATTCAATGATCACTGTGCTACAGGTTTGATAGACTTCATCATTTTCCCGACTTGGTGACTGAATATATTTCTACATCTCCCGTTGCTTTCTACCAAACTGCAACATAAAAACGAACAGAATAAAAAAAAACGTTCCAAAATGATTTACTGGTGACGATGTAGTTCTGAAGTTCAATTTTTCTCTGTATATTTGAATGAGCTCGAAAAGGGAAGATTTGGCATTTAGGTGTGATATAATAGCTATCAAGTTCTGTATAATATAGTTTTAGATGATCCTTTGACTACTGAAGCAATTTTCAATTTCACTTTTGTACACTAGAATGTTGGTATAATTGAGCAATTATTGGAAATAAATGTAACAATACTATTAACAAGCTATTTTCTTTGCCAAGAAAGCCAGTACAGGCATTTTTAGATCTTGTCTGTATGTTTACTTGTCGATTCTATCTAATTGTCTGGATGTTGGCAATTTTTCTTTTTTCATCTGTATTAGAACTTCAAAATCAAGTAACAAGACATTTATGCAATGGCCGATTAAGGCTTATAGCCTAGACTTTAATAGACATCATGTCTGTGTTATTTGACGTCGATCGATACAGTTTCCCGTGTCTCAGTTGCGTAGAGCGCAAAAGATGTCAGTATCACTCATTGCTGCTCTGTTGAATTCAGAGGAAAAAAAATCATGAATGAAGGAATCACTTTCGACACAGATCAATCGTCAATTTCATATATATATATATATATATATATATATATATATATATATATATATATATATATATATATAAGTATTTAGGGCAACAAGAATTCTTTTAAATATGTTTTGTTTAACAATACACACACACACACACACACACATATATATATATATATATATATATAACGTATGCGTGTTAACGTATCTGTTAACGTATATAAGTATTCTTGTACATATGTATAAACAAAATTTCAAAGGAAATAAATCAAAATAATGTTAACATAACCATTCAAATAACAAAGTATCAATCGAAAGAATAACTACCATACATTTTGCAGGACGAATTATTCTTGCATATTAATCCTGTTATAATTTGAAATTGACCTACGTTTAAAATCAGGGGTAAAATAACGTAGCATAAATTTAAATTATACACTCATAAAGAAGGAAAAAGACGCTGCTACATGTTATGAAATTTCTTCTTTCGCTTGGAGATATATTTTGTATCTCCCACAGTAAACAAAATGGCTGTCGGCTGTCTGCTGTTCCCAATTAAATCTTGTGTCTTCGTGTCAACAGTAATTAATATTCCAGTTGTTTGCACGATGCAATTCAGTCCACTGGAGTGTAACTCGACACCTTACTGTTTATCTCTACTGAAAAGCTTGATGCTTAGATTTCACAATAAAAATATAGTTTTATTCGTAATAATATATTTATAAGTATACATTTCTATATTTATGTTAATATATGTCTAGATGCATGTATGCTATTTATTTAAATTTAAAACTTAAATATGCATGTGTTTATATACATGTGAATTGATATTTACACATCAGCATATGTATTCAACCTGACCTATATTATACTTTCTGAAGAATGCCGCAGAATCGGTCAACCGAAACATGAGAACAACAAAAGCATCAATAAGAATGAGAAAATTCAGAAAATCTATTGGAATTATATTTATAAGTTATCAATAAACTACCACAAAATGTGTGCTTGTTACCGTCCTCAGTATGCAAGTCTTGAAGTGTTTCTAGTAAATACAGGCACATCCTTCAAATGAGCCTAAAAAGAATCTAAATAAAAGACAAAGTAAAGGAAAGGGTTTTTAACAATCTTGACCAAATTAGCATGCCAATAAATCTCACAACTGGCAGCTTAGTCATAATATGCTAATGAGAGAATAAAGTAATTTCCCAATGGCAACTGGTAGGTCTAAGAACATTTATGCTGCATCTCTGGTTGCCAGATCACAGCTTTACCCTTGAGTTATGCCTGAAAGTACATCACGGGTTCCAAATTGATGACACTGACGAGAATCAATAATTTAACACTATAACAGAATAAAAGTGAATTACAACATTTCTGTTGTAGATATTGACAGTGGCCACGACGACTTCCGTTGTTTCAGCCATTTTCGTTATAGATAGAAAGAACGAGAGTGAATCAATAAGCCCTTAGAAATAGACATTAGTTGAATTTTGATCTGAAGATTTCGCTGTATAATAATTGATTTATGTGCATTAATATTTACAATTGAATTAAGTGAATTTTAAGGAAAAAATAGTTGAAAAATAAATATTTGCTGTGTGAAGTACATACTCTTTTCGTCATTTGATTGTGGATTTATTGACACATCTATATGGATGGATCCCAAAATTGAATAATATATACTTAAAATATACGAAAAGAGAAATTGATTATATATATATATATATATATATATATATATATATATATATATATTTGTACCACAGAATTTAAATACGGCTTTGAAAATGACGGAACGCATTCTTTTAAAGAGACCGCCTCTTTCGTTTCAGCACTTCGTTGGGACGACAAATATATATAACACATGTTGGTATATGGAAAAGTTTTCTATTTGACCAAGAAGCACCCCCCACCAAACAAAAATTCTAATGTTTGGAGAATTGTCCAGATTTTATGTAGTGGGACAGAATGATAACTTTACTGCACCTCCTTATAAGAGAGGGTGAAAGAGAGAGAGAGAGAGAGAGAGAGAGAGAGAGAGAATATGCGTGCGTGCCTGTGCCCAAAAGAGGAAGTAAACAGGATTAAAATCAACTTTATGTATTTTTTAAATTACTCTCATGGGTGTAAATTTTATTTTTTAATATTACTCTTACGAGTGTAAATGAATCGGGAGGAGAAAGTAAGAGCTGCGCGTGGTAGAAAGTATTATGTATGAGAATAGATAACAACAGGGGAAAGTGAAAATCCGTGGGTGAGCATTCATATTTATGGCTGGGTACGTGGGTGGATCTATGTATGCAAATGCATCCTTGCAGACGAAGTCGCCGGTACCTATTAATGTTTGATGAAGCAAGATGAAGTTGCAGATGTTTAGAAAATCTGAAGAAAATGCAAAACCATTTGAACATTTTCTGTGGATACTGTGAAAGATGCCTTAAAATATTCAAATTGGCGTATTTTTGTTCATTGATTCTAGCATTGAAGATGGACTAAAATAACCAACATTTTCAGCATATTGTGTTTTTTATATAAAAAATAAAATGATTATTCGACCCCAGTCCCCCCTACCACCACCACCACAAAAGGGCCCTATGGAATATTAAATGTTGTATCAAGATGATCTTCAAAGCTTGGAGTAAAATATTTCTCGTTAAACGATGCTGTACAGTTACGTCGAGTAGGCAAGTTGAGGCTGAGATCAATCAAATAATCAACGTTATACAACACTAAAGATGGCCAACAGACTCAAACTATCCAATATTGGTGATGTTAATTGCTGTATGAACCTTATTTAAATGCTTCTTTCTTATCAACAAATTGTGTCGTAAAGTGAAAAAAATATAAAAGGTCGGACAAATGAAATGAACGGCTCCAACTCGTGTTAAAGGACAGAGGTTTCATCTAGTGGAGAATATGTGGATATAGTAGGATAGAACTAAATTCCTCTACTATGAGCACCTTCAAGAGAATGAAACGATTGATTCGAACAAGCACTAATCGCAATTAGATTACGTAAAGGCAACAGTCGGCGAAAAAATTTGTACAAACAAACTATTACGGTTTTGCTGTGAAGTTTTCAGTAGATGCTGCACTTTTAGATTACCATTTAATCCGGTCTCTAGATAATTCCCTTAATGAAAAATTTCCCTGGAAGATTACAATAGGCATCTTGAGTGGCGCTCCGAGAAAGATAAAATGTACTTATGAAATTACTCGAAAGCTGGCAGAAATGGAACGAAAAGATAATTACGCTGTTCAATATAGTTAATATCGACAATTATATATATATATATATATATATATATATATATATATATATATATATAAGTTTCACGTTATAAACTGATTAAAATGGGTGCCAACAGATACACACACACACACACATAACTTTTAAATGTGTATTGTTGACTATATATATATATATATATATATATATATATATATATATATATATATATATATACATAGGTACGTACATACTTCCCTATGTACAATAAGTCAAAACAGACTTTTAAAAACGTTCATATCTAGCAAAAATGTTTATGAAAATATGTTTTAATCAATAAGAAAACTCTTGAAGTATTTAACTCAGATAAATTACTCTTAGACTTAACTCTTTTGATATTTTTTGTATTATTATAAAATGAGTTACAAAATACTTAACTTTTCTGAACAAATTGATGTTAGGTGTTAACTTTTCATGGAAGGCGGTTGACAAACATGTTTACCTAATGCTGTTGTAGCGGATCAAAACAAATTTTTAGGGCTTCAAATGTGTATATGTGTAAATTAACTTTTTAAAATTTTGAAGGAAATCTATAAACAGATCTGTCCCCTTTTTTATATTTTATCCCAGATTTCTAAATTACAATTTGCGTAGATTTTCTTATTCTTAAATTGCATTTCTATCAATCTTAGTTTAATTCTGACTATACCAGAGCTAAGAAATTTGAAGTTGATCCTAATGCAACAAAACCTCATCATAAAGCCTTATAGAAATATATTTGCACTCACGCAAATGTACAACATAATCAACAACCTAAATACAACCGCTAATGGAAAAAAAGATCAAAATTTTGTAGATGCTCGAGGTGCCGTTATTAGAATGGCTAGTGAGTCAAATTTACATTGAATTTTTTGGCATTATCAATCCTACTAATCTGCTGTATATGCGTGTGTGTGTGTGAGAGAGAGAGAGAGAGAAAGATTGAAATATACTCTGTCAATTCATAAGCGAGTATAACACCAAACGTTCTTTTGTCAAGAAATTAAATACATACCATGAAATTAAAAGTATCTCTTTTCGTGAATTGAATAAAGGAACAAATACTATACTTGATTTTGAACAAAAAAAAAGGAATATTATTAACGTCTAATTTGTACTTTATTTATTCTCTTTCAAGTATAACGTTCACAGCTAGTGGCATTTAATGTCAATATCATCGAGAACGTCATCTTTTGGACAATTTCTATAAATATTATATATCTATCACGGAATACACATTGAAAAAGAAAAAATGTTTACAGATCCATATTTGTAAATTCTACACATTTATCTGAAAAATGATATATTAAAACGTTAGCTAGAGAATCCTCCTCATCGTTTTACTCTGATATGTTAAATTATTTAAATGTAGGATTATGACTGTGTGTGAGAATGAGAAATGGATGTTATTCGAGGCAAATATACGTTTGGGATTTTCGGTCCTTGCCCAGATATTTTTGCTGGAATTTGTTTCAAGAAAACGATCGATTTGAAATTTTTCAATTGTAAAAATGAATGAAATTCTATTGAATTTAAAAGTTACCGCATTTGTTAATACAATAATCGAACATCAGGACAGTTAAAAAGCATTTTACATTTAATAAAAAATATTTCCTCTTTTACTATGATTGCTGTGGTGCAACTACCCGTATAGGCCTGTGTATGAGTAGATTTATGATTGTGCACACACACATACCTCAAATAAATAATTAATCTGTTATGGTATTATGCATTTCCAATCTCACATATGCTTACACTATAAAATATAACATCTTTTATTTTATCCTTCTCTTCCGTGCTAAATTGTATGTTATTATCCTACACTATTTATAGTTTATACACGAGGATACACAAGCCAAGAGTGTGCAAGTAAGCATTAATTGAATGTGCTTAAATGTGGATACTAAATCGTAAAATCAATATCTCCTACTGGCTAGGGTACAAAATCGGACAAAAATTAAGTCATTCGTCCTCAGCACATACTTCATTCTTTCATTCCATCACAGTGATGCATTATACAAAATGACGTCAGTAGAACGAATACGATCTATATTACTGCACCACTTGTGCAAAAGAATATAGGAACGCTGCCCGTACGTCGGATTATTTGGCTAATGGACAAAAGAGAGACACGCCAGTGGCCTAAAAATGTATAGACACTTTTTAAATATGCATGCAGCGGGTGCAGCAGTGCGCACGATTATAATTGGAACAATAATAATAATGTTGATGATAATAATTGATATACGTTTATATGTCCTGTCTGTTTTATGTTTGGACACGCATATTAATAGCAAGGTATGTTAATAAAGCTTTATAAATTACTTATATTACATATAATGCGTTTATTAAATATATAAAATACATTTAAACATCTCCATCTATATATTCTTTCTTTATCTTTATATTGCATATAAAATACTTTTATATGTAATACTCATTCTACAAACACACACACACACAGACACAGACACACACACATAAACACACATCCCACCCCCACCCCAAACCGACAATGGGTCAATATTTTCCGATTCTAATTTTTTTAATGAGGGGACCAGTCCACTTAAGTAGTGCTGGGTATTGGGTTATGTTGTGGTAGGATCCACCTAATTTGCATAGTGGAGTACCGACCATATAAATATGGTTGGTACCGGGAAGAGAGGGAGGAATCAAGAGATTCACTCTCAATCGAACTCTCTGCATTTTGCAGTGAGGGACCCGGACGAGGCTTTGCCGAGAGGCAGGGTTTCGTCCAGGGTGGTAGACAGGCCTTGAACCCGTCTAGGCGGGTTCAGAAAGGCCATATTTTTGGAGATACCCACTTTAAACCGTCCTCGTGCCACATTTTATCCTCGTGGGTGGATAGATAAATACAGGAATCAAGAGATTCAACCAGAGACTCTGCCCGACTGCGACTCAGTCAACACATTCTCCAGGAACGGTCTTACCAGGAATATACAAAAGACTATATGTAAATATTGTGTACACTTTCTTGTTTCAATACATTTTGTTCTAAGTACATTTTGTGTTGCATTATTATTCCATGCATTAGTCAAGTTTCAACAGGTTAAAAGATATTTAAAATTTATTGCTAGATTCTTCACTTCTTCCAAAGATTGAATATATATATATATATATATATATATATATATATATATATATACTCACGAAAACACAAACAGAAAACCTACCAGGTGACCAATAGAAAACAAAAAATTACTAACAGCAAAAAAAATCAAGAAAATCTATGCAAAAACAGGCAAATAAACAAACTAAGAAAAAGACCAAAAGGCAGACATCTGCCTAAACAGTAACAGACAGGGCTCTATGCCTAGATTATTAGGACAGAGCCAAAACGCCTCTCTCTCTCTCTCTCTCTCTCTCTCTATATATATATATATATATATATATATATATATATATATATATATATATATATATAGGTAGGTAGGTAGGTACACGCAAACATACATGTGTAGGTCATCAATATTTCATTAAGGAACAATACACGTAATTGTTTCTGTTAACATTTCTTTCCTTTCTTATAGGAATACTCACTTTCTATTTGGGAGAAAATGGAATAACGCTTTTAGCAAACCGGGACTAGGATCTAAAAAATTCGTGAAAATAAAGTATGAATAATGATGGACGTTGAAAAGAAATGTCTGGTCAGTGACATTAGACTGAGGAAATCTGTGATTTAGATAGAAGGACTACAAAATGTTAGATGTGTGGCTCACCGTTTGCTCTTTAATGACCGTGAAGATTTCTTTTTCAGCTAAATCTTACATTTCTTGATAGTTTACTGTTTGAATGATACACAGAAAAAGAACGGAAAGAAAAACACAATATGAATTGGATTGACAGCACAATTAAATAATTATTTTGGTTATTTCAGGTGATTTTTTATGCATTTGAATTCAAAAGTATTTCTTGCTTTCGTGTAGGATTTTTTTTGTAAAATACATTTTAGTCTAATTATCCGTTCGTCCGAT